CCAAAAATATAACTTTCTTGTTAAAAGGAATGAATAAAGCCCCAACCATAGAGCCTGCTAAGAAGGCTACCCTACCCCCCCCCTCCAACCCGCTACACGACGTCTAATATGAAGAATGAGTTGAACCATGTGAAAGGGGCTCACGTCTTAAATGGAGAAACCGCCGTGCCGAGTCCATTACGCCGCCTTTAATAACCCCTCAACCCTCTGCAGGATCCCGTAGCCATGGCAACGGCCAACCTTTCCTCCGTTGCCATGGCGACCGTGACGTCAGCGGGGGAATAGAACCCATCCCTCGTCTCTCAGGGATGACGGTTTATAAAGACGCCTGTTAGCGGTGATTTATTTTGTGGGTATCTTCGGGAACTGATCTGTGAAGATTATCATCAGGTGTGATGACGGCTTCTTTAGTGAATCCGTTGCTATGGCAACCTGTGTGATCAGGATGTATTTCGGTCCACCTAAACAACTTGTGACGAATTCGAAGCAGCGTTGAAGTACCTTCATCAGTTATGAGTGACCTAGAGTAATCTCCGAGCAGATCCTACGGTGGAAAAAGACAGTATCAAATTGACCAGGCAGTATCCATTGGCTAGAGAGGGTCAAATACGCCTTGGTCAATTTGATACTGTCTTTTCCCACCCTAGGATCTGCTTGGAGATTAACCTAGAGGAGATGGGGTCCACTTGGGAGTGAGCGAGTAGACATGCGCTGGTTGGAAGGGATTTATTCTAAACCCTACACTAAGTTAACTCAGATTTACACATTATTAAGCACCTCTAATGAAACTTAAAGCCTGTCAAATCCATCAGCCACAAAATCTGACCTGTTTCCGTCTCATCTTATTAAGTTCGGGTGGATCCGCATGTTCTGTAACATACTGGTTGTTGTACTGGCCGAACAGGCTTTTCGTACTTTTGATATTGTATTATCTATGTATATGTAGTGTTTGTATTGAAGTCCCAATGGATAACATTGTCAAGTTTTTAAATTGTAAAAAAGTCTACAATTCAGCCATTTAGGCTGCCACCGACTTTTAAACCTGTATGTCTATTTATTTTATGTGAATAATAAACCAGTCATCATCATCATCATCCAATCACCGAGGATAAACCATGGTGAGACTCTGAAAGATCATCTGAACAGACGACAGAGGATATCTTTAGATATCTTAAGTCCTTTTCTGAAAGTTCTAATAGTGTTCTGCGCCATCGAGGCCAGTCCTTCTTTTAAAATTCTCGACAGATTATTCGAGCGAGTTCATCGTACCAAAAGCGACGTCTAGCGTTTCGTAAGAACACCTGTTGTTACTATTCGCCCACCGAACGTCCCACTACCTGGTCAAAGTGTATGAGGGATGTATAAATCGTCTGTCTTGTATGTAATTTGTTATTTTGTACGCATCTTTGCAATTCAGGGAGTCTCATCCCTGCTGTAAGGTTTGCTTTGTGGTGTCACGGATAAAGAATAAATGGTAATATCCTTTAAAAATTGAAATACCAAGTGACAAACAAACAAACTGGTTTCTTCCTTCCTTCTCCTGTTCTTCGGTTTTGGTCAGTCTTCTAACGTAGAACTAGCCTGGGTACCATCCCCAGTAGTATATTCGCAAACTCTATAACTGGTTATAGAGTTTGCGAATATACTACTGGGGATGGTACCCAGGCTAACGTAGAACGGCATTTGCACAAGAACTGAATAAAGAAAATTTTATTGACACAACAAAAGTAAAGCGACTTTCGTAAGGTCTTCAACTACATGTAGACATACAGACAAATAAATAGCGAACCGATTGACCCTTAATCCGCCCAGGGTCTATAAAGGTTCACAGGCTGTGTGTGACGTCATAGCTACAGCTGTTACGTCACATGGGTAACAGTGAGGTCATATATAGCTACAGCTGTAAAACTACGGAACCTAGGTGCTCAAAGTGTGATATAATTTACGCCGTATATACGGCGCCCATCTGCGTACATTCTGAGTTGTGTAACATAAAAGCAAGAAGACCAGCTCAGATGAGGTTTCCAAACGCTTCCTCAACTTTTTAGCTAAAGATTTTGTAATACACAATCCTCCACATTCACATCCTCATTAATTCGCCATTTACAAAGGCGCCAACGTTCTTACATGTTTTCCTTAGTATGTCCATGATTTCCTCGGACATTACATGTATCTTAGGTATGTCGTCTAACTTTGATATAAGACTAACTACGCTATCTACATACAGAGTGATTCTTTATTGACGCAACAAAAAGTACAGGGACTTTTGTATGGTCTTCTACAACTAAAGATCTAACAAACATGTATACAATAGAATATTTGCCTGGGAGTTTGGTCGCATTGGGGTTTGACTAGCCGCGCAGTTACTTCGGAGGGAAAGAACCAAACTTCCGCGGACTGACTCCATGCCAATTTAGGCTCCTTTTTGCTAAAAGCTACGATCCGTATTCCTATGGAAAGACCTAGTGGAGACTATCCCCACCCCAACTCTCATAAGAACAGCATGTACACGGCGCCAGTGTTGCCCACAATAACCCCAGCCCCAGCATAAAATAGCTAAAAAGCCATATTTTACACATTTTCAAAGTGGCCATGGTATATGTGAAAGGCATGAATGACATTCTGTGGACATGTGTCCAAGGTATCCCCATACCGAATTTCAGGTCAGTAGGATTTAATACCAGGGCTCCAGATCCCAACATGTACATTTTTTGCATAATAATGAAAAATGTCTGAGGGTATTTACCCACTCTACCTTCAATGTCTAACATACTAAGTAGTATATTCTGCCCCCCCCCCCCAACTCTCATAAGAACGGTATGTACTAGTACATAGGCGCCAGTGTTGCCCACAATAACCCCGTCCCCCGGCATAATAAGTAACACATTATTTACCCGTAATTGCTCATATCCTCACAATATTATCAGAACAATCAATCGACTCGCCATAAATCATGCCTGAGTAAATACTTAATTAAGGCCATTCCGATCCGGACGGGTTTAGGGGGGCTGTAAAATGATCAGGAGATTTCACAAACACACACAGTATATTATAGGGTTGGAACGCCTAGTCTCGAAATGCAGGCGATTCCAGAAACACACGCACACAAACACACACAGTATATTATCGGGTAGGGGCGTGTAGTCTCGGAATGCAGGCGATGTAGGGTGGGAACGTGTAGTCTCGGAATGCAGGCGACGTTGGTTGGGGACGTGTAGTCTCGAAATGCAGTCGATATCAGAAATACAAAGTATATTGTCAGGTAGGGGCTCTTAGTCTCGTAATGCAGGCGGTGCCAATAGCACACACAGTATATTATCGGGTAGGCACGTGTAGTCTCGAAATACAGGCGATGTCAGAAACGCGTAGGGCGTATAGCCTCGGAATAAAGGCCATACCAGAAACATATCATCGGGTAGGGCAAGTGTAGCCTGGAAATGCAGGCGATGCCAGAAATACACATTATATTATCGAGTATGAGCTGTTAGTCTCGGATTGTAGGCGATGCCAAAAACACAGTACATTTATACTATCGGGTAGCCTCGGAATGCAGGCATAAAACGTAGGCTTGAGTAGTTAGCGTTAAATGAGAAGAGTTTTCAAGAGAGCGAGGGATAGTATTGCTACAATTCTGCAACTTTATATATTTCACTTGTACATCTTTTATTCCTATAATCGTATGATACATTTTCTGTCAAAAATCACTTTTCTCAAATACCCATGCTAAACAGTTCTAGAAAATTGCAATTTAGACAGAAAATACCTTTTTACATTATCTGTATTGCATGTACTTGTATATATATGTTGTATACGTATTAGCTCCGTCTTGAGGTTATATGGTTTTTGTACAACTTTCTTGATTTGTATCATCAGCCATTCTTTCTTCATATGATGTTTCGATTCAGTATTCGCTGTGATAGTCGTGAGTTACATGTTTTTGTATATCAATGTTTATCCATGTACATCCAGGTTGCATATAACATTACATGTTTCAGTGCGTTTCGTACAGATTCCAGTATAAATAGTGACGTGCAGTTGTTTGTGGCAAGCGGTGGCAACATTTCATCGCAACAAAAGTGCACAATTGTAGCAAATTCGGTGACAATTACACTGTGCTAAACGTAAAATACATCCATCAATCAATATGTACTGTTGAGATATTCTAATTTGGCATATATATGAATGAAAGAGCATTTGGCACATTTTTCTGTTAAAGCCAAAAGTAACTTTTGCGCATTCAAACTTTTTGTTTATGTTTTAATAGGGGCACGGACGTGGAGGCGGGCGCCGCCATTTTATATTTTTATAAATTGTAGGTCAAGCATTTTCGGACATCCAGAGATCTTTCAATAAACTGACTTCCTACCATCCATAAGAATACATAAAATGAAGAATAACTAAAATCTTGCAGATAAAATATTTAACATCGCCGTGTGCGCTTGAGCTACCGTCCATTTCCATGGAAAAATTGATAGTGAAGGACACCAATATGGCGGTGAGCACCAGACACCCCACCCCCTCTCCCCATGATACGGAAAGCGACTGTGAGTGACAATGCTCTAACAATCAATATCAGTTCCATTTCTCACGAAGAATGCATAAAATGCTGCCGATACTGAAATCGATCTTTTAAATCACCTTGACCTTTTGTCTATTGACATGTAAATCAAGGACACCAAGATGGCGGTCAGCACCTGTTCGATTTCTTGATACGGATAGTGAGAGAAAATGAGTAAAGAAGCTATCTTTTTACACAACCAAGTGTACAGCAGACGTTTCGGTGACCGTCTGTCACCTTCCTCAGGGCAATTCTGACTGGTCACTGAAACGTCGGCTGAATAAAACACTTGGTTGTGTAAAATGAGCTTCCTTACGCAGTGACTTACCAACCTGATGAAACTATTCACAGAGTGAGATATAATGCTTTATTTTATCAATATCATTGTTCCTGTTTCTCACGATCATTGTTTGTTGTACATGAACTGCATCCCCAGAGCCGCCTCGTACTCCTTCGCCTTCATTCGGAGAGCGGCGATGGACGAACATCTCCGAGTCTCGGAGTCGGGAGTCGTCGGAGGAGGGAAGCCGAGCGGCACGATGGTGCATGACGGGATCGGTGACGTGTACAGCGTGGTGGGCACCGTGACGCTGTGGATTGTGGGTAGGACGGGGCTGATGGCGGGGCTTCCCGGCTGGAGCGCACGCGTCCGCTCTTTGGTCTTGTCCTGGAATAATTTAAAAATTCAATTTTCAGTTTTCAATCAACATAGCGGGAGTACAAAGTACTCACGAATTGCGTCGACTTTACATGTTGGATACAAGAAGAAACACAGGGCAATTACACTCATACGGATGCACTAGCTCGTATATATTAGTAGAATTTAAAGCAAACATTCGTCTTAAGGATCTAAATACTACTACCGAAAGATTAGAGAACAAACGAAGGATCACCACACTCATAGCAAAGAGTAGGGGACCTTCCTGGTGTGAGTGGTTCAAACCTTACAGTCTGGTATCAGGTTTGACATCTTTGAAGAGGTGATAGTCACCTTTTAGTGTTACGTCAATCCTTCTACAAATGTGGCAAATCTCAATGAAATACGTAAAGTATGCACGAAAGACACACAGGCAGACGGTAGGAGAGCAAAAGAGAATGAAAGAGGGTGTTTAGAGAGAAAGTTGAAATGAAACAGACAAGGGACGGAGTGTGTATCCGTACCTTAGGATCCACCCGTGTAATAGCCGCAGTATGAGGCGCAGGCACCATGGCCATGTCGGTGTTCTGGAGAAACCCCAGCCCGCCGAAGTTCGTCAGCTTCTCGTACTTCCGCCACTTCGCTCGTCTGTTCTGGAACCAGATCTGGATAGGGGCAAGAAGGAAGAGGTTGAAAAGTCCATTCTGTTAAACTTTGTTTCTCTCTTAACCATTGATGCATCTACACGTGGGATCGTGTGGCGCCGTACAGCAGAGTGCTCGACTCGGAACCAAGAGGTCCCGGGTTTAAGTCCTGACATGCCACTGATCTTGTGCCATTGTGTAAGGCACTATACACGACTCACTAAGTCAAGTGAACATGAGTATGTCCTATCCTGTATTTTGACCTCTGCGTTTGTGGCGTTCACCATGTCTAGTCATGAAATGTTGGAAAATAAAATAAAAATAATCTACCAGTTTTTTCCATTTTGTCCCTTCATATCTGCAACTCTTTCGTTCGTTCTTTTTTTTTTTTTTTTTTGCTTTCTTGCTTAGTCGTGTGCAACAAACGTTCGGTCATTTATTTTCAATAAAGTTTTCAAAACGTTATTTCCAATTCTCCTGACCTGAACTCTGGCCTCCGGCAGCTTGGTTTTCCTGGCCAGCTGTTCCCGTGTGTGTACATCCGGGTAATGCGTGACCTTGAACACGTCCTCTAACGCCTTCAGCTGTTCCGCAGAGAACGTCGTCCTCACCCTGCGCATGCGCTTAACCCTCCTCTCGGGTCCTTCTTCTGAAATCGAGACATCCGTCCCGCCTGAAGATACAAGATAGTCAAGTCAAGTCAAGTCAAGCCAAGTCAATTGCAATATTTATTGCACAACAATTGTAACGCGTACAATGCATGGCAAACTCTTCAGTACTACATATCTAGCGAACATCTACTCTCACGTCTACAGTAATGCTTACAAGTTCTATGTATCGAAAATAACATTATTCTATTTCAAAAAGGTAATATAGTACATGTACTATATATATGGAACATGGCTTACATGATAAAGCACATGTGTTGAGTTCTACATGACTATAAACTAAAGTGTACATCAGTTGGTGGAGTCGGATATAATATGATTTCTTTTAACTAAAGTGTTAGATAAAAATTGGCCTATGTACAGGGAAGTGAAACACAGTTACCAACCTCCGCTGCACACCGACTCCCGCCCCGTCTCCGACGCGCTGTCGCCGCCTACGTCATACACGTCATCCGTGACGTCACCGTCGGGAACGTCGACGTCGGTGACGTCATCGCCGCCGGGAGACCTGACGTCATCACTGGTGAAGAACTGCCCTGTTGTATCTGTAAATGATTTAACCATTAGGTTAAAATTTTGGTAAAATTTCTCTGACTTTTAACAGAAAAAAAGTACAAATAGAGACTTTTCCATAAAATATTTCATAGGTGATGTTTCTTAACTCAATGCTAGGACTGCGTGTCTGTTATAGTAGGCAGAATTCGGCAGAAATGACGTGGATAATTTGCCAGGAGGGTTGGTCCACGTTGGTACTAGCTCTTTACTGGCAATTTAAGTTTTTCAACCAACCTTTACAAACTGAATAAATAGTAAAAAGCAGGCAAACTGTACCATCTATGGCCGGCCAACCCCCCCTGGCCAGCTACATTCTTTTTAAGCCAATTTCTACTATTTATTCAGCCTGCAAAGAAGCCTGGTAGAGACTACTGGCACTCGAGTGACCTCTACGTATACACACAATAGAAAAGTCGGCATCCTTCAGATCATCTCTCGTTATCTCACAGAATAGTCGTAATGCATGACGCAAAGTTTTCTACCCCCGCCATTCTGCATATGTGGTGTTTTTAATTCAGTACTAACACTGCAAGTTTGTTATAAGGCAGAATTCGACAGAAATAACGTCAATAATTTGCCAGAAGAGTTGCCACCACTGAAGTGACCTCTACGTATACACACCAACGAACCGACGCTCTAGATTTAACATAATTGCGCTTTTTAATTTGTATATAGAACATTTTAAAAGTTGGTAATTTGTAAGAAGGGTTCGTAATCCAGCCCCTTGGCTTCCATGACCTACAGATGTGTACCATATGATTGTATGTATGAACTTTTAACTCCATGGTATGAATGAATAAATAAAACCAGTCATCAAAAGTCGGCACCCTACAGATCCTCTCTCTTTATCTCACAGAAAGTCGTAATTCATTACGCAAAGTTTAGCCCCCCGCCATTCTGCATTGTGACGTCTGTTGACTCCCCACACGGAGGTAATAGGCTTACATGTCCAGTCAACACGGCGGCAGCATTGTACTCTACAATCATAGGTTTGGGTTTTGGCTTATTTTTGGCTTAATTAGGCTTTTTTTATCGGGGTTTCTTTCCTGCACTGAATTTCTTACGCCATCCGAACGCGTGAAAAAATTCCAGTGCAAAAAAGAAGAAAACCCGATAAAAAAGCCTAAAACGCGCCAAAAATAAGCCAAAATCCAAACCTCTGATTGTAGAGTAGCGGCATTGCGTCATAGGGATTATCCTAATGTAAGTCCAACACGCCGGCTTTGCCTCGCCGCTGTAATCCGGGGCTAATCTCTGGGCAAAGTTTCGTCTCAATGACCTATTGTTTGTGTCTGTAACCGATACCCATTGTTAGTAATGGTCTTAGAATCTGTACCAGACTATAGCTGGAAACAAAAATGGCAATACTTAGAAGTATTGAAGTATTAGAAGACTTAGATCTGTTTCTAGTGCTCAAAAAAGCTTAACATACCTGTCCCTAATCCAAGTTAAGAAAAGGATTTTTAAGCTTCGTAAATTCTTACTTGCTTGTGAGTTGTGACCTTGAACTTTCGTTATGTAAAAATAATTTTTTGTGCCGTTGACAAATACAGTCGAGTATAATTAAAAATGACTAACGCAAGATTAAAGAGTTAATTTCATATTGGAAGAAAGCGGTCTATTCCAAAAGATGAAAAATTGCAACGGCTTTTTTCAAACAAACGCCCCCTCCTCTAACCCCCAAAAAACTTTTTCGCCCTGTCCCGCCTAGTCTCTAAAAGACTAACTACGCTGGCTATATATAGGAGAATATTTGCCGCCTTGGGGTTTGAGTGGCCGCGGAGGGAAAGAAACTACCTCCCCGCGGCCGGACTCCCTTGGCCAATTTTACTCTTCTTTTTGCCGAATTCTGCGATCCGTATTCCCGTAGAAAGGCCTGGTGGAGACTATGTCCCACCCCTTTGTGACATTTTTCTAACCTTTGTGTTCCTCTCTCTATAATCGTTAAAGTCATAAACAACCTGCTTTATCAGATCCCGTGTAGCCACGGTCCCCCGTTCCCGGCGGTACCGCCTCTCCCCTCGCCCACTACCCGGTAACCGGCGGCCGAGGGAACTAATAAACTCCGTCCCGCGAATTTATGGTCCATTGTGCCTTAATTATGCCTCCACTTAATCTAATTGAACTCCGGCACGGAATGGTACCTCCAACAATTACCCGCTCTATTGTATAAACAAGCGTCCACAGCGCCGGTTATTCTTACAATTCCTGGTGTACATGGAGCGAACAATACACGGTCAGATATACAAGTCATGGGCACAGGGCGCGGCCAAAGCCTAGTGCGATTTAAGTAAGAGTAAGGTAGAGTTTCTACCTCTATGATTAAAGTAAGAACTAGAGTCTTGGCCATCTTGCAAAGTTGTATGAACAAAAACCCAGTGTCCAAGGTTGTTCTTACAATTCATATCTTACATGGAGCGAACAATACGGTCAGATATACAAGTCATATATGGCTGGAGTATAAACGATTCGACCTAGAGCTTGACCCATGTCATCTTTGAAAGTTGTATCGAGAGGGAGGTTGTATGGAAATATGTAGCCTCCTTGGTTGTGGAAACATATCAGACCACTCAGATTGTTCTAGCAAGTGACCAATACAGTGAGAGATACAACTCATGGTACAAGGCAAGGCTATAGGCTGAAACATTCAACTTAAGATTCAACTTAAAAGTTGAGTAATTTAGGGCTATCTCAAAAAATTGTATCAACATTCAACAAGAACCCCCGCTGAGGTTATGAAATTCTTTTTGTATGTTTCGCATAACTGGTAAACTGCCGGCATTATAGTTACAAGTACATGGACTGTAAGGTTTGAACCACTCATGTCACGATGGACCCTTTTCGATATTAAAGTGTGGTGGGATCTTTAACATGCTCAAGGTGTGGCTAGCTCTCCTTCAACACAGTCGTCGGAAATTCCTGAACGTTAACCTCTACCAGGCTTCTGGAAGCGGCTGAAAAGAGTGGAATTTGGTCAAATAGACAACATGCCAGGGGAGATGGTTAGGAGAACCACTTCTCTGGCCCAATTTCTACTCTTTTCAGCCGCATCCCGAAGTCTGTTAGAGGTTGCCTGAACATATGACAACTTAGGCTTAAACGTACTATGTACTAATCTATTCCCAAGACCCCGATTCCCATATATCCCGTACCTGTCCGCTCCCATCTTGAGGACCGGTTTGTGTATTTCGTCTCCAGCCATAAAAACTGCCATAACCCAGATTATTATCGTAACTCGGCTCTTTTCATGTCGGCGCTGTTTGCCGGTAAATATGGGCCGAGCGGGCTGTAAAGTTAGTGTAAAGTTCTGTGGCGTCACTGGTTAAATGTCAGGGTCTTCAACTAAATCAACACAAAAACACATGTTTACAAGCAGCGTCTTGTATAATCCTACATTTGTGTAAAGGCAAAGTTTCGTGCCCTGGTGTAGCTATAGTGCTTTTGCTTGTAAGGTAAAATAGAGCTATAGTGTTGTGTGTAACAGCATAACTTGGTGTGTTATACTTGTTATACTAAGCTTGTTTCTTTACACCTTGAAAGAAGATGCGCACAAGCTCTCTCTGTAGACTTGTTCTTTTGTCACCTTTAAGTCACATCACATTCAAATTTTCGGTGTAAATAAGTTAGAATTAAAACTCGAGCTTTAAATTTGTATTCTGTTAAGTGAACCACGCCAATAACACATACCGTAGCTGTTTTAGAATGGCGTTATTGTTTTAGAAACAGAACTTCGCGAAAATCTACATTTACACTTCTGCTTTTTGGTTAGCTTTTGTTCAGACTTTAAACCACCGCCTGTTTAAAAACAACATGAAAAACACGTAAGTAAAAAGCACAATGTACTATACTGTATCATATTGTTGTTTCAAAGGCATAACTCTTAACTGTGCTATACGTATGCTATGCTGGTTACAGGATTGAATGCAATAGATCTAGAGTACGATTATAGGTATTGAATTTTACACAAAATAACAGTTGTTTGAGTGAGTGTTTCATGGTCGCTTTTTAACAAAAATTAATGTTAAAATTCTAGATACAATTTAGATGCTGTTATATGACCAAAATACAGCACAAACTCCACTGATATTAACTGGAGGCTGAATCTATTAAAGTTTGCCATGTGTGCTGTATGGTTTGTACATAGGGCATTATTCAACAATTTAACACAAAACCCTTGATTCATCATGAATAAACCGGTAAAGAACAACATCAATATGGCTAATTAATGGTGCTTTCAATAAATTACCAGCGCTTCATTTTAGTGTTTGAAGCCGAAGGACATTGTTGAAGACCAAGTTAAGACAGCGTAAGGTATCTTTACAAAAAGCTGTTTTGCTCGTAAGGCTCTCTTTCTATAATCTCCAAGCAGATCCTAGGGTGACAAAAGACTGTATCAAATTGACCAGGCACCTTGGGTGGCGTATGGACCCTTTCTGGCGAATGTATACTGTTGTCACCCTAGAATGTATAAAATGTCTATGAAATTCGTTGAGCATTTCGTCAAATGTTTGTTAGTTCAGTGGTACGTGTAGTTGACTCTAGTGGAAAGCTTAAAGGTGTGTGAGGTGAAATATCTTTGCCTGCTCTAACGTTGGGAAGGCTGACATGATATTACATGCCTTATGCAGAAAGGTTTAGTGAAAAATATCCACTTTAACTTCTTGTGAGAGGCAAATATAAGTGAAACATCTATATATATCATATCGTACACTAATCGTCTTCGTGTAACAACAGAAAAGCAACTGTGAGTACTTTTCTGTCTTGTTTTTACAACTTGAGCCTAAACTTCAACCGCAACAATGTTGTACTCATTAAGGTTTTGATACACGCCTAATCCTTAATTTTGTCACTTACATACCCTGGTATATACCTATTTTAACGCTCTTCCCGCTTAAATATCGATATAAGGTAAAGCAGAAACATGTTACTACTTCTTGTTTTCATACTACGCCCTAAAACTTACTCCTATCTTTTTTGCAAGTCAGAAAAATAGCTGTACTTGTAGCAAATCTAGTCAATCCTAAATATAGACCGAGTCTGTCGGTGAATGAACTTATCTTATTTCACACGTTCTACTAATAGGGATTGAATTCCAGTGTTTTCATAAAACTAGCGAGGAGGCATGATTTGGCATGTCAACTTTGTTTGGTGCACCCTCCTTTATTTATAACTTAGTGATTTGCGGTTCATTCTCTCTTTTATAAGACGATAAACGGTATTAAAACTAGTCTCTACCAGGCTCCTAGAAGAGTAGAAATTGGCCAAATAGACAAATAACATGCCAGGGGATTTGGTCTGCTAAAAACCACTAAGTTTCCAACTCCCCTGGCATGTTATATTATTCGGCCAATTTTTATTATTTCCAGTCGCTTCTGAAAGCCTGGTAGAGGCCAGCTAAACCACGACATACCTGAGAAATAAACCACGTCGCACTCAAAAACTAGAAAGAAGGCACTAGGTGTACATTGACTTACGTTCACTCTCTGTTCTATAATACTATAAACAGTAAATTGCACGGAAACTTAATTCTACCACACGCTTCTACAAGCGACTGGAAATAGTAGAAATTGACCAAATAGACAAATAACATGCCAGGGGAGTTGGTCTCACTGACTGATAAAAACCACTAAGTTACCACTCCAAATTGTACTCTTTGGCGGACTAACTACGCTGGCTATATAGGAGAATATTTGCCAGGGGAGTTTGGCCTCCTTGGGGTTTGAGAACCAACCTTCCCCTGGCCGGACTCCCTTGGCCAATTTCACTCTCCTTTTCTTGCCGAATTCTACGATCCGTATTCCCGTAGAAAGGCCTGGTGGAGACTACTTTCCAGCCGCTTCTGGACTAGAGTAGTAGAGGGTGGCTAACTAAAAAATGGCACGTACCTGAGAAATCTACCGAGTCCTGCTCTTTATGACCACTACTGTGGTCTTGCGAGGTGAGAGCGTGCAGGCTGTAGTCGATGGGCCCCACCGGGGAACAGGAGTCCCGCCCCTCGGCGTCAGGTCGCTCCTGCCACCGAGGAACCGCCGGCGGCCGCCCGAGGATGTTCTCGATGGAATGTCTCAGCGTCGGGATTGTTGACAAGTCCATTGTTCACCACGACAGTGTTCTCCAGACAGAGACCGAGTTGAAAATGTAGTATAAGAATCCTGACTATTCCAGTTTTTAAAAGTTTTGGGCACAGTGCTAGTCTATGCTTGGAACCCTTACCAGAAATAGGCGTAGCGCATACTTGTAGAAAGCAGTCGAGTAAGGGTGTACACTGTACAACAACTTGGACGAAAAAGTCTGGCAGTTTTCAAATGTTCTTCCCGTCGGCGACGACAATCAGGTGTTTACAAGTCGGTGGACGCCATGATATTTTTCTTGCTGCTGAAGGACGAGTTGACCTTGACAACAAAGGTTCGATCCTGGGTCTCCAAATGTCGTCTGCGAAGTCGTTCGATCAAACCACCTGCTCACCTGGCTTGAGAGGTCGGCAGGTGAGTTGTTCTTTTTCGTGTCCGGACCTGCCGACTAGAACCAGCCCTTTTCTCGGGACGTCTGTCTGTGTTTCCCACCGCCGTGCGGAACAACAATGTGCTTGAGGCCGTCCCGATAAGGTTTTTGTTTTACGGCGTTTGGAGAGCCGTGTTTGATAAAGGGGAGAGATTGGAGAGCCGTGTTTGATGAGGGCAGAGATTACACCGGCTAATTAACTACATGTAGGAACCCCACCGTGGGTCAACATGGCGGCAATGGGGCATGTCGGGAACGGCCATAGAACTCTTTATATACAGTATGTTTAGAAACGTACAGAGATAGAAAGACAAGTGCCTTGAACTCATAGTTTGTGATGTTTTTATAGCTTGCGTTCTATCCTATTTGATACTGTAATTCTGTGGATTTTGAATACGCGTTTTTAAGTTTTAATTATCTATTATCTGTGACCTTACAAAATTAAGTATTTGTTATCGCTATCATGATCGGGTTTTTATTGGTGTCCTGCATGTTTCTAAGTAGTGGATGAACTGGAGACAAAAGCATTAATTTGTTTGAGAACACTGATGATGTGCTGATGAAGACAAGAAAGAAAAAGAAATAAGCATGAGTTCTTCATGATCACACAGAGAAAGACCTGGCAGTGCACACTCTCTGAGAATGCAGTAGACAATTCATTCGTGTATTTGTATAATTCTAGTAATTTGCCCCTTAAGTTACCTTAAGTAAGTTACCTTCTTACAGAACCACAGATCTTCCCTGAAGGCTTCCTTTTTTTTTCTAGAATGTTGACACAGAGTTTGATACCTATACTCAGATTTTCTTCCTAGTATTATTTTTGCCCAACTTATTCAAAATTGCTGCAGGTTTGTACAAAGATGAAGCCTGCACTTAAACCCAGAGGACAATAAACACTGCCCGTCTTTTCGTCTGGTGATTGTTTTCTAATCAAGACAATGACTCTCTCAATTAAAGACGAACATTACAAACTGAAGGTATCACTTATGCAAACATAAATCCTGTATCTTAGAGCATAATCTATGGAATGACACATAACTTTGTCGTGAATCAGAGAATACAAAAGAAGATATCGACGTGCCCCGGAAGGTTACCCAAACAGTTCGTCATGGACGGACGGTGATTCACCGGATTCCTATGCAGTTTACTTTTACATTGTCCTCAGTCAACAGGAGTTGGATATCTTAAAAATGTGGCGGAAGGATTCCTAAGAAGTTATCTTAATATTGTCTTCAGTAAACAAGAAGGTTGGTAGAGTAAGAATCTGATGTTGACAGAAATTTAGAGTAATGATGTCCTAGGAATTTACGTGTACATTTTTGGTGTGTTGTCTTTAGTCCATAGCGAAAGGAAGAACTGATAAATGATAAGATTTGGCAGAAGGAAGTTTCTCAAAATTTTCTTTTTCAAGACGAATATGGCAGGAACAAAGTCTTAGCAACATGCCTTTGGTAAAAACCTTCCAGTAAAAGATAATTAAATACTATACTGTGTACAAATAGGTAAATGTATCAAATGATGTTTAGACCTTAGAACAAATAGTATAAGTTGATTCATCTATTGCTTTTGCACGTAGGTCAATTTTTTTGTACCCACGTACCTGTCTGTTACTGTATGTCTACACGGTAGTTTAAGACCTTACGAAAGTCGCTGTACTTTTGTTGTGTCAATTAAGTTCACATATGAAATCAACGGGCTATACTTGCAAAATGAAATATGCATAAAATACAACCTATGTTGAAATTTCAGTTACTATTATTGCTGCATGCCACAACATACCGCAGGGACTAACAGCCACTCGAGGCTTGACAAGGTGAAGGTCTGAAATAGGTTAAAAGCTCTAATATTAGTACAGCGTATTTGTGCCCAATCAATGGCTCACAGCTGCCAAGAGTTCTTGCAACTAAGTTACGGAGTGAGAGGCCGGTAGCGATGGACTAGTCTCCACCAGGCCTTCCTACGGGGTACGGATAGTAGAATTCGGCAAAGAAAGGGAAATAATATAGTAGCAGTTTATTGAAAATCCATGCCCGAAGGCTAATTCCAAGTTACAAACATAAAAGAATATTGAAACATAGTATAAAATAACGTCAAAATGTACGTAATGAAATCTAAAGTGCCCCAACAGGGGCTATATGGGGGTGTAGCCGGGGCTTGTACAACATCTTAGAGCCCCGGCAAAGCGAAGATGAAGATGATTGTCTTAAACCATTGCTATGTATAAAACTATAGCAATAGTCTAAAGGGTTTGACTTCTCTTTTGTAAACCATGGAAGACGTAAAGTCCCACCTTTTCTAAAATTTGTGGGTTTTGGAAGTAAAAATTTGACCAGGAGAGTCAGTCCACGGGAAGGTAAGAGAACTCTACTGTGACTAAACTCCCCTGGTTGAATTAGTCTTTCTATTTGGCTAAAATGTACTATTTTTGAACCCGCGTTGTTAGCCTGGTGAGGACTAGTCGTGGATAACGCAGCCTGTTGTGACTTATATCTTTAATCTTTTTTTTTTATTTCAGGCATAACTCGTCCATATAAAACATACAGATAAAAATACGATGTCCACACAATGACAGCAGTAAAAAATATGTACAGACGGGCCCAGATATTGCGGAAGAATCTGTTGCGGGATATTACATCAGATATGATCAGAACAGATTGGATAATGTTATTTGAGGACTTGTACAGACGGGATATGAACAGCATTGTTTGCGACATAGTAACATAGTAGCGTCAAATGTGTCAGTCCTATTGTAAACAAACATTTCACTTGTACTGCAAAATCTGGGTAATGATATTATGATGCAAAAACAGTTTTTGTAAGCAACTCGACACTCTGAGACAACTCTATCTCCAACATCTAGAAAGTAAAAGAGCATTTGTGCTTATCTAAGAGTAGATAGAAGTAAATTACCAGGCTAGAAAATTTTTCCTCGCTAGTATGCTTCTATGCTACTGCAAAATTTTCTAGGGGGCGTACAAAGATAAATTCGTTTGAGAAAGAATCAGAGCTGGGGATCTGTGAGATTATGATAACCTCTGCAGTATTTCGGTTAAAGACCTCACTTTTAAACCATTAGTTTTAAGGAGAACTTAAGAACGGAAGATAAAGTGGAAAACAGTTGCATTGTTTAAGCCATTTAATTATTAGAATCCAATAATGGGCCTTATTAATCTATCTACCGTCATAGGGAATACTACCAAATACGGCAACCAAGATATTCATAGAAGATCGTTTTCTATACACACGTCTCCTTTGCAAGCATAAAACAACACACTCAACGCTAAGGCGTTTGAGAAGGTATGTACCAAAAATCGTTTCACAAACCGGTAACATTTACACACAGGATACGTGATGAATTCCGATCTTCTCCTAACCGCCCTCATTGGTTGCCTGGCAACGGGATCGTGGCGGATCATCCCCTGATTGGCCGGCTCCCCGGCATAGTTGTGGGTCGGAGATATGAAAGTATGGCCGCCCCCCGTATAATCAGAAGTGTACATACACACACACAATTACCGAGCCGCCGATACATGCATCGTCACTCCTATAAATTTGACTTTTGAACTATAATAATTAGGCCACATTGACTTAATTTTGTGGATAATGTACCCCTTTGAAGGCCCCAAAACTACATGCGAGCGGGCGAATAAAAAGGTTACATACACACACGAAATTACCGAAAATACATACATCACCACTCCTATAATTTAGTATAAA